TAGAGGGCAGGCGGTCCGGGTAAGGGGCAGGCCGTACAGGTAAGGGGCAGGCCGTACAGGTAAGGGGCAGGCCGTACAGGTGAAGGGCAGGCCGTACAGGTAAGGGGCAGGCCGTACAGGTAAGGGGCAGGCCGTACAGGTGAAGGGCAGGCCGTACAGGTAGAGGGCAGGCCGTACAGGTAAGGGGCAGGCCGCTCTGCCCCTCCCAGTGACCTCCCGGGCCGGGCCCAGGCCCGCGGGGCGGCCTGCGGCGCAGAGCCAGATGTGGGCCCCAGGTGTGTCTGTGCAGGGCAGGAGAGAGGGCGCCGGCTCTGCTGGCGGGCAGGGCTGGGGCCCTGTGCCCCGGTGAGACAGAGGGGCCATCGAGGGGGCAGCTCATCCCTTGAACGGCTGGAGAAATCCAAAGGTCGTGGTGACAGCAAAGGTGACCTTTGGCACAGGCAGACCCTGCCGCCGGGCTGTGCGCTGCCCTCGGCAAAACGTACATTTGGACTCCCTGGCGTGCTCTGTTGGAGCGTGGGCACAATGGCTGTACTGCCTGCTCGGAAACCTTGGTTTGTCTCATTGCTTTTCATTGGCACAGCAATCAGTGAGGCTCAGGAGGGCGTACCTTGCTTAGGAAACCAGTGTTATGAGCATTAGGCATTTGGCAGGTAACCAGATCCTTTAGAGCTGCGTAACACGGTGCTGAGGTTAACACGTATCCTTAGGGCAACATGTGGTGCCAGTGAGATGCTACACCCAGGCTCCTCAGCCACCATTGCACAGAGCATCTAGTTCCCGTGCATTCAGAAAATTAGCAACTGGGTAACCTCAGCTTGGGAGCTAACTATTAGAAGTTAAGTTATTCTAAACACATGATGTCGACTGCTTTATATGCAAATATCAACAAGAAAGAGTAAGCAATTTTTCACCATCTGCTGATGTAAATATAGAACACTCATTGAATCCTCAGCTGTGCTCTAATCCTTCTATGTCCTTCAACTGAGGAAACTTTAGGAGGTGAAACAAAAATTCAGAGCTCCAAACCCCTTTTCTTTCTAACACTCCTCACAGAAGGGGGAGGCTGGGTGTGGCTGGGTGAGGATTCTGAGATGAAGACCCAGGAACAACAAGCAAGCTGCTATTGAGCAGGCATTCTTTATTGCAGCACTGGGGATTCTCCACCAGGAGTGCTCCGATGAGTTAGGAAAACACCCCAACTAATATACACTGAAAAATGCATATTCATATTTTATGTATGAGTTCCCAGAATTCTTTTACATAGTCATTTTATTTCCTGGAATTGGCTCTCTTTGTAATTATGCATGCTCAAGGGTCTCCTAGGGGGGCATCTTTGTTGATTCTAGTCCTTTGTCATATTTGTCCTGCCTCCAGTTTCCTCTGGTAGATTGACCAGGTGAGTCAGAATCAACGTGAGTGTTGTCTGTGAGTGTCGTCTGTGGGTGCCACACAGGTCTTGGAAGACTTGATGTTATCACAACCTGTAGGATGCTTGGCATAATTGACTGACAGTTTCACAAAGCACAGTGGTTTAAAAATAACCCATTGAGCTAACTTAGTTCAGCAAATGAATTATTTTAGTACATTTTTATTGGGCTGTGTTTCTACTTAATCTACTAACAAGTACCCTATGACTGTGAGAGGAACCACAGGAGAGTGCAAATAGTAAAATATGCTAAAATGTTGCCATCACTTTGTTACTTAGTTTGTGTTGCATTTGCATTTCAAGGCTTCAACCGATCCAAATTGCTGTTGTGCCAGGCAGAGTATTTGTATGTCCAGTACACTGGTTAAACTGTATTGCAGACTATGCCCTGCCTCAGGGAGAACAGAAATGCCATGGGAGCACAAAGGCAAAAGTTCACTTGAATATGATTTTCTGATAGTTGCCTAATCTTGTATTGGACTAGGTCAAAATGTGTCTTAAAAATGATCCAGAATGAGGAGAGGAAGGAAGGCATGTAGATTAGCACAGAGCCTTAAGGAAAAAAGGGCTTGATGGGCTTGACTGGGGTATGATGGACAAGGTTTTAAGAAGGGTTTAAACTAGGTT